TTTTTCCAGCCTCTATAGGAACCCTTATTTTAGGTTAACGACACAAACAAAATTTTTGTAGGGTTCACCCTCCCTGCTGCTGCTGCTGCTGCTGCTGCTAATAATAATAATAATAATAATAATAATAATAATAATAATAATAATAATAATAATAATAATAATAGTAATAATAATAATAATAATAATAACAATAATAATATTTTAAGACTTAATCATGTGTTAATAATAATAATAATAATATTATTATTATTATTATTATTATTATTATTATTATTATTATTATTATTATTATTATTATTAACACATGATTAAGTCTTAAAAATATTATTATTATTATTATTATTATTATTATTATTATTATTATTATTATTATTATTATTATTATTGCATCATTCTGCTCCATTATTCATCCTTTTTATCTGTTCATCTGACACTATTTATAGGAACTCGTTATGGGAGCAATAATGCAATAATAATGAATAAGAATGATGCAATAATAATAATAATAATAATAATAATAATAATAATAATAATAATAATAATAATAATAATAATAATAATAATAATAATAATAATATTTTTAAGACTTAATCATGTGTTAATAATAATAATAATAATAATAATAATAATAATAATAATAATAATAATAATAATAATAATAATATTATTATTATTATTATTATTATTATTATTATTATTTTTAACACATGATTAAGTCTTAAAAATATTATTATTATTATTATTATTATTATTATTATTATTATTATTATTATTATTATTATTATTATTATTGCATCATTCTGCTCCATTATTCATCCTTTTTATCTGTTCATCTGACACTATTTATAGGAACTCGTTATGGGAGCAAATAGAGGCAACTGATGTATTCAATATTGTTAATGACTGTCATTTATTAATATTAACTAGATTTTTTTAAAAAATAAAATGTTTCTATAGATGACACAAACAAAAGCAGCAGCAAAAGTGTGATATTTGCTTAAAAAAAGTAGAAAAACTATTTTTAGGTATTAAAAAAAAACTTTAAAAAAATCTTCTATGCAATTTAACAAGAAACACAATGAGCAAGTTTAATGATATGAATATAACAACTTTAGGATTTGTGTTCTCCACATATCCAGCGTTTTTGGAAAGACACTAAGTTTTAAACCATCTATGATGCAATTGAAATTCACTCATTCAATAATGCAACCCCCCACTTATCAAGTCTGTTGACAGAATACCAAATGTTGCTAAGCAACTAGGGATCAAGCAACATATCTTCTCTTTGGATGATTAATAAGAAAATCACCATTTTAAATGCATATAAGAAGTACATCTGTTTAGCTAATACAAGACTTAAACTTGTCAATTAAAAATTAATTAAATTTAATAATATGATAAATAAACTAGTACCTGATGAAGTATATCTGAAGAATGATTCTTCTGGTACTGGTGAGACTTTTTTCCGTGTTTATGTGGAGCAGTAAGTCCTTGAGTCAGGTTCTGTATATACATCGACCTGCGACGCAATTCTTTTCCCAATGAGTAAATATGACCATATTCCTCTGTCTGCCGAGCAGCTCCACCAATAAAACCAATAGAGGGAAACATGTTGAAAATATTCACAATGAACTGATAGCACAAACACAAATGATACTAATGAATGGCTATAACACTATATCATATATCCAACAGAATTATATATATGCAGAAACACCGCCTGCTTTAGATTAATCCTTGAAGAATACCCTGAATCTAAGAGGAATTGATTTAGTGATTAATTTCATTGCTAAAACAAGCCTTTCTATATTCTACCCAGGTCTGAAATCTATTCACCAACTTTGAATCCTACAAATCCTTTTATTACACCGTTCAATAATCAAGCTTTATTACCCCTTTCAATAATCAAGCCCCAACAATGGATTAAGCTTGGAGTGAACACAAATGGTGCTCAACCAATTAGAATGAAGCTCGGCTAATGAACAATGACCTGTGAAGTGGTCTCTTGGCTTGGGGTGCCAATTGCTCACTCAGGCAAATAATAGGCGTAGATTTTGCAGGTGTGGTCTGATGGAAAATGAGCTTGGATGAGGACCAACGTGTCAAGTATTTACACATTCTTGTAATCTTTTTGATATTCTAAAAAAATGCTTGCACTCTGAATTTACAATTCAAATGTTCTTTTTAACTGTAAATATATCACAAAACTAATATCTATAAAGATATATTTATTTTAAAATTAAAACCTAGAATATTATTTAAAAAAATGCAGGAGCATGATAATTTTCAAAATTAAAAATTCAAGAAAGTTTGATAAATTTATTCAAAAAGGGTGTCTTCTATCATTTGTACTCATCATCATCTACATGGATTAAAAAAGAATTGATCAACTTTTAGTTTGTTTTCAAGTTTTGAAACAAAACAATCCTTTTTATTCCAAACTGCCTTTTTTCCCCAGTATGTATGTATGTATGTATGTATGTATGTATGTATGTATGTATGTATGTATGTATGTGTGTATGTATGTATGTGTGTATGTATGTATGTATGTGTACGTGCATGTGTGCGTGCATGCGTGCGTGCATGCATGCGTGCGTGCGTGCATGCGTGCGTGCATGCATGCGTGCATGCATGCGTGCGTGTATGCGTGCGTGTATGTATGTATGTATGTATGTATGTATGTATGTATGTATGTATGTATGTATGTATGTATGTATGTATGCTGATGTTAAAATTTAAAACTTAAACAGACACTCCAGTGTAGAACAGACCTCATCTATAATGGGAATCAGAATTATATACATTAATCCTGACACCAGGCCGACCAGTCCTAACACTAACCTCCTAATGCTGAGCGTCAAGTGATGCAGCTGTTAGTACCATTTTTATAAGTCTTTGGTATGACTCCATTGGGGATCAAACACATGACCTCCCGCATCCAAGGCAGATACTCTAACCACTAGGCTACTGCAGCGGTTGATTTGAGTTTGAGACTCCTGGTCTATACTGTCAAAATCATCATAATGCAAAGTTATTTTTAAGAATCTGAAGTAGGATATTATAAATGTGGACAATTCCCCTGTTCTTATAATTGGTGACTGAAATATTGTTCCTGACATGGAATACATATTCAAGCAGAACATCAAGTATCAACTACTGGATCCATGGAAACCAATCAATCCGGAAATATGTGTTATTCGTTATGGTTACTTATCCAATATGTAATTATTATTTACATTCCAAAAGAAGATAAACTTAGAAAATTCATAAAAATTGGGTTTTATAAAAGGTAAATTTGCTGGTGAAAATGCAAGAACTTATGACCTGAGAAAAAAAACAATCTGGTCTTTTCATAATGAGTGTCTTTGAAAATGCTTTCATTCCAGTTGAATGTGAACTTTCAGAAAGTGCTCTGAAATCTCTTAACTTCGGAGAATCCATTTTGATAGTGGTTCAGAGTATTTTTCAAAAAGTCAAAAAGTCACGTTAATAACACACATCTATTCCCATTTTTTATCAGTCTGGAGAGAGATTATTGCCATGGAAACACTTTAACACTATATTTATTTATAACACGATTTAATCATCTTACACAAATATTACAGGCATTTTCTATAATGAAATTAGAGCAGTATGTTCATAATACTTTTGTATTATCGGATGGTTCTCCTTTGTCCTTGAAGACTACCATGACAATAGTTTTTAATGACTTTGCCTTGGTATCAAATCTAGTGCAATGTTTGAGAATAAAAAGCTAAATTTTGTATTGGAAATTAGAAATACTAATTACAAATGTATAAAACTTTCCAATTTGAGTTTCCATTTAACCAAATGAGCAGAGGCTAAAATCTCATGGCCCAAATAACTAATTGCTCATAATAAGGATCTCTGTAGTCCTTTTGACCAAAGTCTTTAAGACTATAGAATAATTTTACTGTCTGTTAAAGAAAGCAGGCATGCTTTTTTATTTACTACAGCAATGCTGTCCACAAGAATTAGTTTTAGGTTTTAGGAAGAAACCACATTTTTCATAAATGTATTCTTAGCCACAATTTGGCTAGTGCCTGCAATAAAATTTATAGTGATATCTAGCACTGGGGCATCATGCCGCAGACATGTAGCATCATGTACCACCCAGTTGCTTATCCTGATACCAGATCCACCAGTCCAAACAATAAACTCTTAATGTTGAGCACCAAGTGAGGCAGCTGCTAATACCATTTTTTTTAAAGTTTTTGCTCTAGCTCATGTGGGATTCTAACTCATTACCTCCCATATCTTAGGCTGACGTTCTAACTTCTAAAGCCACTGAAGCAGTCCCCTTGGCAATACATGTAGTAACATTTTGGCACATTTTTTTTTACAAAACTTATAGCCATTTACTATTAGGTATTTCTTCATAATTTCAGATGTAATTATTAGAATATAATCAAGTTTGGGTTTCTTCAGATTAAAAGCTTTGTATAAAATCCAATAACTGCATTAGAATTAGCAATACACCTTCCTCTGAGCATATCAATAGAGACAGTGGCGAAACAAGGAGGTTATGAGGGGGTAGTTACCCCTGCTACAAATTAAATGAGATGCTGTCACAGGTTTTTTATTTATTTTTTCACAGCTGAAATTCACATGTGTCATCTTCACTGGAGTCTAACAGCAATTATTCTACACTAACTTACAAGGGGATGTGAGGTATGGAGGTTGGCAACTGACATAAACACTGTTTCTATAGTAATGTACTTATTACAAATTTTTGCTCAACCACTTAAGAGAAAAGCTTTAATTATGTGCTGGTGTTTGATTTATATAACCATTATAAAGTGCAACTTAAAAAAAATGTTGTATCTAGACTATGCGGATTACATTCAAAAGAAGTCAGTATAATGCTCAGTGTTGTATTTTCTCAATAAAATGTATGAGTGGTTTCTTTGGACAAAATGAATCAAAAGGTAATGATCGACAGTTGATTGAAATGATAGTAAAGTTACAAAGATCTCATTACTGTCCATAAAATTGCGCAAAGTTCTAAAACCTTTTACCCAAAAATTAACTAAACAAAAATAAATAGAAAAACACCCCATAAACCCTGCTCATAAAAATTGTGATGTGACTAGTCTGAAACTGCTGTATAAATTCAGCCAACTTCTCATCACATCGGCTCGTATCGTTGCTTACAATTTACCGTCATACATGTACTATATAATAAATTTATTATATAGCACATGTATGACGGTAAATTGCAAGTAATGATACGAGCCGCTATGCTTTTCATAACAGCCCAAAATGCCTTACAGCAATATTTATGTAGGAATTTATCCATGTTTTTCTTTCTTTTAAATTAAATTAACTATATTTGTTCCTACTTTTTATAAGCAATCTACACATTGTTATATCATTTATAAATTGCTAGTTACATTGTCAAAAGAGTGTTGTCATCACATACTTATGCTTTTATTTCTTATGTATTACTTTCATGTATTTAATTAGTTTCTGAATTTAAATGCATACTTGAGAAATGTCGTTATGTTGCAGTAAATAATTCAGTTTCGTAATTTCTAGGTGCAGCAATGTTCTTAGGGAAATATAGTATCCAAGTCATTCTGAATGGGTTCCTCTCTGTATAAAAGACATAAACAAAAAAAAATACTTTATTGATAATATAAAAGAGCAACAAATATAATATTTATCTAAACCTTCATAAGTACTGTCCTTACTAACTTAATATCCAAATTAATATTGTTTTGTAAAAAAAAAATTCAAATAAGTACTGTATGATGCTATAGATGAAGTATTATGCTATTGATGAAATATAAAGTGTAATGTCAAGCAAGTGTTCTCCTTGCAGATTTTAAAGATTTTAGATTTTACATGTTATGTCAAGTGATATTTTCTCTTCTGAAATAAAGTGAATCCAAACATAGCAAATCTGGTATATGTTTCATTCATCAAAATCGGAATTATTGCAATGGATCAACAGTATTATATATATATATATATATATATATATATATATATATATATATATATATATATATATATATATATATATATATATATATATCCTGACGTTGTGTAAGATTGTGATGTTAAGAACCATGACTAAAGACCATGATAGTGTTGTTGTAGGGTTTAACACCATTTTTTCTGCACAAGATATACTTTACATCGCACCCAGTATAATTGGTAGAGGAAGAACCCTGGAAAACTCCGGGTAGAACCACCGACCCAGGAGAAGCTACTGGCAGGTTTTCTCACCTATCCACGTTAGTCGAGCTTGAGACTCGAACTCACACAGACAGCGGTGATAAGGCAGTGATCCTTAATAGTGAGCATTTTAGACCAATTGGCTAACTTAGCCCCTACCCTCCTCTCCCTGATATTGTCATATGAACAAGCATGCATGAAGACAATGATACTATTCTAGCTTTTTATAAAATCAAGAAGACTTCCATGATTGTGAAATGCAAAGTTCTTGATTCACGTGTTCTCTTAATGACCTAATTTTGTGTTATGATTGAAAAAAATAGTCAGGTGCTAATGTATAACTTCATCCCCTCCGTATTATTTCAATAAGAAACATAAATATCTACAGTTCGGTATGGTCTAGTCATGTTCTACTGAGAATTTCAACAGGTTCTATCGATAACACAGCCTATTGATTTGCAGATGCGTGAAAGCAAGTAATGTATGTCGTAACCTTTATTTAAATGTTGAAACTCCTGTAAAACAAAGATGTTATTTGATTCATTAAACTATATTAGCAAAGCATGTTTCTACAGCGTAGATTTTCATTTACTTAGCTATGACAAAAATACAATTTTAAAGTTTGTTTTTTCTTTCTTTTTTCTTTTGGTTTGGCTAATGCAAGTAGGTTATTTAGTGACATAGCAACTGAAGTAAAGTGTTTTGCCCAAGGAAACACCATGGTAACTGACCCAGGCAGGTCAAAATGGTAGGATTCGAATCTGAACCCTTTCGATCAAGTCTGGCAAGCGAGCGGCTGAGCCACCCCAACTTCCCATTTAAAAGCACCTCACCGGTACACTTTATCACCATAAATACTGGACACTATGCATATTGCATAGGGGGGGGGGAGCGATGGTACTTTTGTTTTGATCATAGTATATTAAACATTTTTAATAATTTTAAAAATGTATCAGAGCACGTGAAGAACGATCACATAATCGAATTGTTAAGAATGTAACAAAAATCATTGTTATTTTCACTCCAAATGGATTCTTCACTAAGAAGCTTGATTGGTCTTTATTCATTTCAACATAAATATCTAAAATAATTTGTTTACAAACTGTCCTAAATCTTTACGGTATAATCTCTTAAAGTGACATTTTTTGATATGAAAGGGATTGCCTTTAATGTTTGATTTTTATTGGTATTGGCAGTTGCAGTAGTTGCTTACTTGTTACCATTTCAGTAATTTAATGTCAAGGACAGTACAGAATATACCTGCTAAAATGAATGTTATGGGAAAAAAAATTGTTCACTGGTAATCGGGATGCAGCTCAATAATATAATAATAATAATAATAATAATAATAATAATAATAATAATAATAATAATAATAATAATAATAATAATAACAACAACAACAACAACGTATTATCTTCATCACTTGATAGGTAAAAGATGTATACTTGTTATTTGAATAGTGGCTTATTATCATTTTGAAACTAGCCTATCTACACCTGGTTTCTTGCTGGCATTCTGCTGGGGTCTCTGCAGGATGTTAGGTCATCATCTACATTTAGTATATAATTAGAGTCCCACGAGATGAAACTTAAAACTTAAAACTTACATATCCTCCTTGGATACAACTCTGAGTTGTTATTAGGTTTTTGATGTCAGGATTACACCTGTCTCTCGTAAAACATTTCATTCAGATGCAAGAATTCGGAATTATCCTTTTTTTTATTTCTGTCAATTTAAGGATTGTATCGATGGTGTACGATGTGA